CTTTACGAACCCCTTAGGGTTTAGGGATTTAGGGGTTCAGGGAAACCCTAAACCCTAAACCCTAAATCCTAAACCCTAGACCCGAATAGGGGCTCAGCGTTTAGGTGCTTTGGTGTTTTGGTGTTTAGGGCTTCAGGGCTTAGGTTTTAGAGGCTTTTAGGGGTCTAGCCTTTAGGTCCTTGGGGTTGAGAGATCTTCAACTTCACCCAGAGGAACCCGCCCACTTAGCTTTTGGAGGATGGGTTAGGGTTCTCTAAGGACTTTAGGAGGGACCCCTAATAGGGACCCGTAACCCCATTACCTTAAATATAACCATTGTATAGTCCTTATGTACCCCTTATATAGCCAGGTAGTCTTCATATTAACACCAATAACCTACAAGTGTCCCTATTAAGGGTCCCTCCTAAAGCCCTTAGAGGTTCAGGGCTTAGGGACCTTCATTCCACGAAGCTGCCTTACCTGGCCACCTTTTTCAGCACACCACCTATTGCTCTGGATGCACGCTGAAGGGTATCGTTCGTACACGTGTTTTCGCCACCCCTAAACCCTAAACCCTAAACCTTGAAACTGAAATGTGCCTTTCGGTACTGCTGGCTACGATAGAGAACCTCTTCGGCGAAGATATGCACTGTCAGCCTTATGAAACAAATATTTAGGGTTTAGGGTATAGGGTTTAGGGTTTAGGGTTTAGAGTAGTAGCACAAGAGATTTGAGGTACCTCTGTCCTGCAGCTTGCATCATTGGTTCTACCGCAGAGGGAACCTTGAGGAATAGCATTTGCCCGTGCTCAAGCATAATTCTTCCCAAAGCCTCGAAACTCTAAACCCTACAGTCGAAGCCAACAAGTTGGAACATCAGTATCCTCATGCCCCTAACATAAGGTATAAGGGATCCTGGCACTACTCCACCCTAAATCCTAAATCCTAAACCCTAAACCCTAAACCCTAAACCCTAAACCCATCCATGTTCCAACTTTCCGGTGTTTAGGTGTTTTTGGATTTGGGAACCAGAGTCATCCAGCGAAAGGGTTACCCCCAAAGGGCCCATGTGCTCATGTAGTATGTGCTTTGGCCTTGAAGTTACTCCCTAAATGGGTACTTCAGGGTCAAAGTACACTCCTATGGGTGCATGGAGCCACCATGGCACTTAGCACCCCTACTCAAAGCTTAGCACCCCTACTCAAAGTGTACCCAGAAAGGGAGCATAAGGAAACCCGAACACTCTTGGGTCTAAGGGGCCAAGCGAAGTGCCAAGGAGGATCCCTAGGCTTCGGCCTTACACCCTTTAGGGTTTAGGGTTTAGTGTGTAGGGTTTGGGATTTAGGGTTTAGGGTTTAGGGTTTAGGGCTCAGGACCCGTTGCGACTCTCCGTCCGCCTGCGGAAGAGGCTGAGGTGGCAGGAAAGCCGGCCTGCTTGAAAACTCCCAAGGTCCTACCCAGACCATTCAGCGCAGGGTTTGGGGTTTTGTAAGGCCCTTTTTTTCTCATCGGATATCTTTTGTGCGCCTTGCACGTAAAACGTGCTTGTAGATTTCGCTATGTTAGGTTGTAGCGGGGTTAGACTAAAAAAGGCATTGACACTTAGAACAGGGGTTTGGGGGTATGTGTGATGAGCATGACCCCCGAATCCTCATCCTGCATCCTGAATCATATTTTGGGTTTAAGGGTTTAGGGTTTAGGGTTTATGCCGAAACTGCAAGCTGCGAACCCTTGGTGCTAGTTCTGGGGAAGAAGCATTCCTCTCAGAGTAAAAGCCTCGGTTCCTGAATCACTTATCCTGGGATGTCTTTCAGAAATGATGCAGCCCGTTTGTGTACACATGAAGTGGCTTGTAGTTGGGCTTTGCTTGTAGCTGTCAAGCACTGCGGCCTTCAATGACCGTAGCTCTGCGGTTCAAGTGCATATACGGAATTACGGAATCATGCGAACAACGACCTACAATATGAATGATAGTAATGATAGTACATAAATAATGCAGTATAACATACGTAGTTCAGAATATAGTTGTACCAATCTTCTTAGGAGTCAAGGGCTTGGTTTTTGCTTTCGGGGTTTAGGGTTTCAAGGTGGACCAATCTTCTTAGGGGTTTAGGGCTTGGTACAGTAACAAAAACACCCGGAACCCCCTCGAACTTCCTGTGAACCAACGGGTTCCTCAAGGGCTTCTTCAGGGGTTGCGAGAAGGGTTCTACAATCCTGTGCCGATTTCAGGGTTTAGGGGTTGGGGGTCGATTTGAGGGTTTGCGGTTTGGGGTTCAGGGGCCGATTTGAGGTTTTAGGGCTTAGGGTTGGGGGTTCAATCTTCTTAGGGGTTTAGGGTTTCAAGGTGTGCGGATTTAGAAGGTTAGGGGCTTAGGAGTTTAGGAATGTAGGGGTTCGAGAGTTTAGGGGTTTTTGGGTTTAGGAGTTTAGGGGCTTTGGAGTTTAGTGTTTCAGAGGTTTCGGAATTTAGGCAATGTCCGATGGCTGAAAGTTGAAAGCTATTACCCTCCAGCTCAAAGAAGGTGTCTGCATAGATCACTGCACGCTCCGCAACCTCATAGCGACTAACTACCCGTGTCTCGACCGAGCCGAAGTCTACGAAGTGGAGGTTCGGCGACAGCAGCATACATCGCGTCATCAAGTCTGCAGCTCTAGGGTTTTGGGGTTCAGGGTTTAGGGTTTTGGGGTGCCTGAGCCTATGAAGACCCTAAGTACTGCAGTACCCCCATACGCTGGCAGTGCTCCGGAAAAGAAGCACATTGTGTCGCCAAAGTGTGGGTCCCTGCGGTGTGTTCAGGACGACAAAAGTGTGGTTGGGCTCCGGACAGGTACTTGACGCAGCTTCATGGTCCATCCCGCGAAATCGAAAACTTCCATGACACAAGGCTTCGCGCCGTGTCTGACTGCTCTGGCAAGGTGTACAAAGGCGTCAATGGCATGATACACTGGGTTCTTGTTAAGGGATTTAATTTAAGTTACCATAATAAGGAAACCATATTATTTACTATAGATCCCTGGTAACTTAAATTAAATCCCTTAACAAGAACCCAGTACACCGGAGAATCGGGTTTAGGGGTTAGCGTCTTGGTCTGCACTGGCCCGGCAGCTACCAGCTTACATGACAAGGATCTCAGATCGCGCATTTTCAAGCTCTTGTGCTCGGGTTTAGGGTTTAGGGTTTCGGGTTTAGGGTTTAGGGGGTTTAAGGTTTGACAGAATCTAAGATACACTTCAATATCCCTGAGAAGCCATTGTATGTTGCGTCGGGTGTTGAATTTGGTTAACCATTGTGTATTGTGTTGGGATCCCAATCTCTCAACCTAAACCCTAAACCCTAAACCCTAAACCCTGAACCCTAAGCCCTAAGCCCTAAGCCCTAAACCCTAATCGCCCCCTTCCAAAAGAACAACCTTGGAGAGGCTTGCGTGGCTGATGTTGGCTGTGGCCACAGGGTCGCCCACACGCAATATAGAGGCCTCAATGATTAGAATAGGGATTTGGAGTATATTATACTAGAACTATACTAAGGAACCACCGAAATAGTATAGGTAATTGTTCAAGACCTTACCCTCAGGGTCCATGTATCTGTATGAGCATACTTTGAGCCTAACGTACCTATATAGGGACTACTTTAAGGCCTAAGTATATACAACTTATAACTCCGTTCTTGTCATTACAGCTCTGGGTATATTATACTATAGTTATAGTACGGAACCACCCAAATAGTGTAGGTAACTATTTAGGCCCCTACATTAAACCTAAACCTAAACCCTAAACCCTAAACCCTACACCCTAAAAGGCCCTCCCCCAGTATCGGCTATGGCCTTGCCGGAGGCGGGGCGGCCGTGATAGCAGGCCCCGGCGGTACTGAAGGAGCTGCCACGGCCTTTGCGAGGGTTTAGGGTTTAGGGGTTGAGGGTTTCGGGGTTTAGGGGTTTCGAAAGCCCGTGGTCTAGTTGAGGACCTGGTTTGACTGGCCGAGGCTAAATGGTATACTCCATGATTAACGTAGCTTTAACCCACTTAGCATCAACCCGAGCTAGGGTTACTCAAAATATGCCGGGACCCCCAAACACATTCAGACTCGTTTGTTTGCGTTACACAGCTGTAACTCTGTGGCTTTCTCGCCCGACACATGAGCACAGCTGGGCACAAGCAGGGCTTTGGGTTTAGGGTTTAGTATAGAGACAGTTTAGAGCACCCGCATGAGCAAACAAGCTTGATAGTGGGCTCAGCAACAGCGACAGCATCAGTCGTGTCGGTGGTGTAGCCACATGTCTGGGTCACCATTGTGGGGACCTTCACCCTAAACCCTAAACCTTAAGCCGTGAAGACCCATGAACCTCAGACAGGTCGGCAGTTCGAGTGGCCTGGATCACGATATTCTCCGGGTGGGGGTGCCTGAAGAAGCCGGGCTGTCTCAGGGCCTGCTGTCGAAGCTGGTTCTGAGAGCTGTCCTGGAGCATCTGTGGCAGCAAGTCCACACTTGGAGGGTCGGGGGACTTAGTAAGTAGGTAATAAATAGACCCCAAAAGGGACCCTAATTTTGGCTATGATACTTATAAGTCTATAAAAGAACTAGTTACTAAGTCCCCCGACCCTCCAAGCACCCCAAAAGTTCCATTCCTCTGCCTTGGCCTCCAGGAGTGGCCAAGGGAGAGGAGGGCCACGTAGGACTCGTCATCGCAGCCCGGGGCCTCCAACCAGATCGTCCCCTCGGCTACGGCCACTCTGGGTGAACGCAGTAGCGGGAGACACATCAGCAATGACTGCGAGAATGACTTGCTAGTTCTTGTTGTTGCAACTTAACTAGAAACCTGGAGCAAAGAATCCCTGAAAAGGCGGAACCAGACACTGGCCGGAAGCGGCAGAAACTCCCCACTCCTACACAAGGAAAGCCGAAGCCCCAAGCCGTTACATCCGATGCCTGCAGATATACACACTAAACCCTAGCTCTGGGCTCGAGACTTACCAGTAGTGGAGCTGTGTCTGCTGAACATCGAGGGACTTGTGCTAGCCATGTTTGGGGATCCCCTTCTTAGCAGTCTGGAACCGGGCGCGACGCTCGATCTGGTGGCATACATCACTCAGGCTGATTTGCACGGGGCGAGCTTACAAACTCTTTGGCATTCGGAAAGTTGCCGCTGCAAGGGTACGTTTTCTGCGGGAGGGGTTGTGACTCTCTATGGCGTTCAGTACTTGGGCACCTACGGAAACTCTCATCATCTGATGCAGTTGCCGGGGACGGTGGTGGTGCAACGCCCACCTTTGGACGCCAGGTCCTATCTTTCCTTTAAGGAAGTCTTTGCAGGCATCGGCGGAATGACTCAGGGGGTTGTGTTGCTGGGTGGCCACAGCACAGCCGTGATGGACAGCAGTCCGCTGGCATGCGATGCCCTCAGAGCACAGGGTACCACGGTCATCACCGGTGACATATCTGACTCAGCCGCACGCCAAAGCTTGCACATGATCGAAGCGGAGACAAGAAGCCTCCTTGGAGCCAGCCTTCCGGGTCCTGGGCCCTTTCGGGGTTTGTGTTCAGGGTCAGTTGAGGGTTGCACCCATCTGCAGTCAGTGCTGTGCTTGGCATGGCATGCACAGGCAAGCGGTCTTGTCTTGGAAGGTGATCCTGTTGTCATGCAGAGCCCGGAGTGCACGAAGCTGCTTCGCGAATTCTCAGTTAAGGCAGGTTATCACCAGACCGAGGTGATTCTTGACCTCGCCCAGCAGTGGCCCATGCATCAGGTCCGTTACTGGGCGGTGCTGCTCCCTGCGCACTTGCCTCAACTACACCTCACTGCCTGGTCCGAAGCAGAGAAACTCCGGATCATTCGTGATGTCATACCGGAGTGGCCAATCTGGCCTCATGCTATTGAGCAGGCGCTACAATGGACGGACACCGAGAAAGCAGCATTCGCGAGCCCCTCGTTTGGCCCCACCGACAGAACTTTGGATCAGAATAAGCCAGCCCCACCGGCCCACCATTCTTGGGGCAATGCCTTTCGACCCTGTCCCTGTGGTTGCCGCAGTGAGCCTTTCACTACCGAAGCCCTTCTGAAAACCGGACTTCGGGGACAAGGGGTGCCATCGGCTCTCACACAGGAAATGCGATTCCCACATGCCGAGGAAATCGGTCTGCTGGCTGGACTTCTTCCCGGCCACCCGCTGCCAGGTGAACCGCGGGCTGCACTTTGCTTGGCCTGCCAGATCACGTCGCCGATGCAGGCACTCTGGGTTTTTGCGCACCTTAAGAATTGGGCGTCAGCGGTGCATGGTGGCCCTTCCTGCCGCCCACAGCAAGTGTTGCATGAATACCAGAGCAGGCTCCTTAATGCACGACAGGACCAGTGGATCACGCCCTCCATTTTAGCAGGAGGCAGCATCATGTTGGAATGTCCGGGCGGCCATGTTGCAGTCCCTGTGAATGGGCCCACGAAGGTAGGAGATCTTCTCCGAGCCTACAAGGCTGATCTTGAGCCTGGACTCAGTCTTAAGCTGCTGCATGAGGGGCGTGCTCTTTCGCCTTCAGCGTTTTTGCACCCAGCGCCGCAGGGACCAAAGTACAGCCTGGTGATTTCTGCCAAGCGTGCGCGGCGAGAGGTTTTGCCAGAGCCTCCTGCCCAAGCCAGCCAGCTTCCTGCCGCTGATGCATCCAGTCTGTGCCGCACGCCCTCTGCCATCCGGACAGGTCAACTTGATTGGTCTCCGGCTCCTGCGCTGCCAGAACCCTGCCCTGAACTTGAGCCCACTCGAGAGCAGCCATTGCAATTGCCAGGCCCCGCGTGCACTGCCCCAGCCAGCAATGCCACTCCCCGTGGAAGCTTCACTGCTTCAGTGGCCCCCCTGACCCAGCCGACAGTGCCTGGACCTAGCGCACAGGTGCCGCTTGCGCAGCACTTTGCACAGTTTGGAACCTCAGGCTGCACTGATGTTGCTATCTGGTGCGGTCTTTGGGAACTAGTTAGATCCATCCCCGGAGCCTCGGCACTCATACTTCCCCCAAAGATTGCTGGAGCCCTTCTTGAATTAGGTGCAGCTGACCAGCTTCGTCTCAAGCACCATCCTGCCCTGGCCCTTCCGGAGGGCATGCTGGTCTTTGTACCATTTGTGCATCAGGAACATTGGACGCTGCTTGTGCTCAGCATCTCAAATGGCAGTGCCCTTGCTGAAGTCTTTGACGGGGTGCCCGGCCGCAACCTTGTCCAGGCTAAGCAACTGTCAACGCTCCTTTGTGAATTGGCCGGTCGCACGCTGGAGACCGTGACTGAATGCTGCACCTGGCCCCAGCGCACTCAGAATGACTGTGGGGCCATCCTACTAGCGCATGCTGCAGGAAAACTTTCCGGAACCAATGACCCGGCACAACTGCAGGAAGCCCAAGCCTTCATTGCCACCTTTCCACCTTTGCCGCACTGCTTGTTGGGCAGGGGCGGGCTGTCGTCTGAACAAGAACAGGCCCTACAGAAGCTGCTTGTGTCCAAAGGGGTGCCCTCAGCCAACGTGGCCGCCAGACTTCAGCAGGCTGTTTCAAAGTTGGGTCCGGGCCCCATAGCCGAGGCACTTCACAGCAGGAACCCGTGGCAGGCCCTCAAATCTGCTGGATCCCGCCCTGGCACTCTCTTCAAGTGGGTGCAACCGGACGAGCTAGAGATGCACATCGAACAGCGGGCTCAGGAGCGCTTCGGCACCGAGGTTCCCCGGGCCAAGGCTAAGAAGCAAAAACAAGTGAAGCGAAC